ACATCTTTGCTGTCAGTTCTCACAAATAAAGACAAGGTATAACTCTACTTTTATATGTTTTGGTTTTATTAAAATTCTAATCATTGCTTTTTAAAAACAATAATTATTGTCGAGGGAGCCAAAAATGTATACAGTAATAGCGGCGTCAAGGGAATAACCGTCCTGATGTTATTGAACTAGAGGGGGTCGATCCCAGCATACGGCACCTTTGGAAAGTGCCTGAAAATTATACCACGGCTTTGTCCCGTTCCGAATGAAATTGGGTAGACGGAACCCTTGAGTGCCGTCGATAGCTATGCTAACACGAAGTCACAAGTCATTGTGGCCGAGGTCTTTAGCGTGCTAGCCTTGTTCAAATTCTTGATAGAAGGTCTGCTCAGCATAGTTGCAGTATAAACCACAGGCGGGGTCTGTTGGTGTTGAATAAACACAAATCCGCCTGAGCAAGCATCTGCAACAGGGATTGGCTAGCCACCTTAGTAGACGGGTATACTCGAATACGAGTAGCCAGCTAGACAAGCAACAATTCATTGAATTATTTTTGGTAAAATTCATTTTTTTTTTACACTTAATTGTTTTATGGAAATAACATCTTCAGAGACTTTTCTTTATATAACTTTTAAAAAATCTTGAAAACACCTCCATTCCAATTAAAAAAAAATACACACGAGATATCGAAAAGGCGATTTAAAGTCGACCAGTCAAAAATATTTCTACAAAGTTTTTTTAATAAAATAACCCTTTCGGTATAGACTTCATCCATGATTAATAGAAAATAATAAAGGAGTCGACCATATTTGGGATCATCAAGACAATGTGAACGATCCTTTCTTTAGCTGTGTGTACTTCGCCAGGGCTACATACAGTTTTGAATTCAGCGTTTTCCTTCTCCTAAACTGGTTACCACCCAAGGCTATATTTATAGAACTATATCTATAGAACCCAGTCTGTCCTGCTATTTACCCATACCTTTACTAAGGGTATTCCATGACTCATGGCATTTTTTTAAACAAAAACTAACAACTTTTCCTTTCATTTCGGAAAAACGTATCCATTTTTGTGGTATCTAATTTATTAACTGAAAATTAGAAAGTTTCAGGTGAATATAGTAAAAAAATAAACATTTAAATAAATAAGTAAAAATAAAATATAAAGAATAATAAAGATTTCCATTGCACCCGCCAATAAAAATGCTTGTAAAATACTATAGGAAAGAAATTTTTCATCTCGATTTTTGTTATTCGCTGCAGAAGAACGGATACACGCTTAAAAGATTTCTTTATTCGTCCAATCAGTAGAAACAGGCCTCAAAAATACATCTGCATTCTTCATGCACATGTTATCTCGCACCTGTACACCCACGCAGTGATCACTCAAAATAATTTAGGAATCATAGCATATCTAAACACAGGCATTGACAAACAATGAACATAAAACCTTTCTCTCTTTTTGTCAATGCCCTTAATTCATTACTAAAAATAATAAACAAATAAAAATAAAATGACCACCTTAAAAAAATTCACATCTAATGGAAATTTGGGCATTGTTTAACCTTCGTGCATGCAAAAAAAAAGAAAAGAAAAGTTATTCCCTTGCCACCGCTGTTACTCTATACACTTTTGACTCAATCGGCAATGTTTATTTACAAGGTTATAAAAGTACAATGTTATATTTATTATTTACTTTTTTATAAAAAAATAAATCTATGAAAACAAGTTTTATATTCACTTTAATAAATAAATAGTGTTTTACATCTTTGCTGTCATTTCTCAAGAATAAAGAGAATTTATAAAACTATTTTCAGATGTCTTGGTTTTATTAATCTTCTAATCATCACTTTTTAAAACAATAAACATTGTTGATGGAATCAAAAGTGTCTATAATGTAATACTAAAGGAAATAACCGTCCTTTTGACACATCGTTAACATAAAGGGTAAGTAAAAAGTTCAAAGCTGATTCTAATGTTTTAAATTTCCTTCATTTTAATTCAAAGAAAGAATGGTTCTCTACTCGTCCACATTGCTGCCATATCTGTTTTGGTGCTGAGACAATTCATCTCGAGATTCTTGACAAAATTCAAAGAAGGATCTGTAATGTAATCAATCCTAACCTGGCATCTCGACTTCAGTCATTTTCTCACCGACGTGACATGGCTTCCATCTGTCTTTTCTACAAATATTTTCATGGCAATTGTTCTGATAATCTTTCCTTGTTGGTGCTTTGACTGCATGAATTTAAGCGCTTGCTGCTAGATTGGCAACTAGGTCTCACCATTTTACTATTGAACTAGTTAGATGCAACCATATGTTATATTCTAATAGTTTCTTTTCTCGCACTTCTCGCTTGTGGAACTCCCTTACGACTTCTTGCTTTCTTGTCACCGACAATCTATAAAAATTTAAATGTAACATCAATCGCCATCTTCTGTCTTTTTAAAGACCGTTCTTTTATTGTCCTTTCTACTCACTAAAGTCTTCTCCCTCTCTTTCACTCTCAGGAAACCCTTGCATCCTAGTGGCATCATTGTTGCCTTTACTTGGAGTAAAATGATTAAAACAAATCAAAAATCATATCGAGCGTGAGAGAATATAAGAAAAGAAAACATCAAGGAGAGAAAATAATAAAAGAAGAGGAATTAAGAAGACTAAAGATAAGTATTGGTATTGCGTTTAAATTTTTGAAGATCAAAGTTGACTGGAAAGCAAAAATCCGGTAGAGAATTCTACAAGGGGGACTAGTGTGATAGAAAAAAAAAACAGCATAGGATTTACGGTTACGTCTCGCTATTTCAACAGCAAAATGACAAGACCTTGCCATTAATCTCGTTCTGTACTTGAATCCATAAAGTCTAAGTACCAAAGAGGGGAGTTTATTTTGCAAATACAAAAATATGGCACAAGGGCCAAAAAGTGGGGGAATAGGGCAAGGCTGATCTTCAATCTGTCCTATCTTAAACTTAGCTAGTCATACATATCCAAACATATCACAGTATTCCTTACACCAAAACAACACTTTCTTACTTACCATTCTTACTACAGCTACCATAATAGCTAACTAGTTACCATATGTACAATGTCTGGGGTGGATAAAAATAACAAAATTAAAAATGAAACCCTAATGTACCAAAGAAGGAAGTTCATCAGAACAATTAACATGAAACTATTTATAGAAAAGGCACAGGGAAGCTACGTTAGGACGGTGGGAAATGGACGGAAGTCGAGATGCCAGATCAGGACCAGTAAGATTGCAGATTCTTATTTGGATTTTATCAAGGATCTCTAAATATATAGCAGGAGCACCAGACTAGATGTGGCAGAAATATTCAAAGCAAAGATGAATGGTAGACTTATAAATATGGAAGATAGATTCTGGCGAGAAAAACATTGTCTAGTACAATGCAGGAAACCAAATTTCCTAGCAGCTGAACTAGCAATTCATTTACTATAATATTTCCACTTCATATCAGCGGAAGACATTTTAGTGATTCCTAATTAAAAGCGCTAAACTTCTTGTCTTTCTTTCCTTCGGTCATTGATTATTTAAGTTCCTTGCTTATGAAACATGTCACTCCCTGTCACTGTTCTCCTATTCACAGCTATGGTAGACTAAAAGTGATATAAAAGATTTTCGAAACATAATTTGAAAAGAACTGTCTTGTTGTCAGCAAAAGGAACAGCTGAACACACGAATTACAAATTGGAGATGCCAAAATCAAACATGTACAAAAATTTAAATGTTTTAACAGAGGACGGAAATGGCGACGCCGAAATCCAAAGGCGAATTGCGATAGCGAAATATGCCTTCCAAAAGCTAAGAAAAATATTAAGAAACAGGAAAATCTCGTTAGAATAAAAAAAAGAATACTTAACTGTGATGTAATATCGGACATCTTATATGGATTATGCTGGACCATCTCATCAAATATGAAGAAAAAACTTGAAACAAGAGAAATATGGCCCTACTGAAGGATGCTGAGAATACAATGGACCAAACATGTAAACAACGAAGAAGCTTGAGTGAAAATGGAAACAAAAAGAACACTTCTACTTAACATCAGGAAGAGAGGGTTGAAATTTATAGAGCACATAATGAGGATAGAAAGCTTTGAAAACTCACAAAACATATTGGGGGGGGGTAAGAGGAATGGAGGGAACAGGGCATAACCTACCTAATGAGCTTTCGTAAACGGTTAGCAGAACAGGGATTAGTAGATATAATGAAAAAGACTAAATCATCATCATCATCATCTACTACTACTACTACTACTACTACTACTAAGAAGAAGAAGAAAGTTCTTCCAGACACAGTGGAAAATTATTCAGATATTTGTTTTTACACATATTTACGCAAAACATAATTAAACCTTTTTTCTTTAGCTTTTATTTATATATTCTATCCGTTTTTGTTTTATTTAAACAAAAGAAAGACTCGATAAAAAATAATTCACGGCATAAACCGACTTTGCTAATCACGACGTAGGCTAATAAGTCCAACCAAACAGTTGAATATAGAATTTCACGAACCTTCCAACCAATAGTCGACGACTCAAGATGAGGTATATCGATTTATTTTACTGCAAGAGCGTGTGACCGGCAAAAACTAATGTCTGTTCTTGAATACTGTATTTGATGCAGGATAATGTAACCATCTTAAATAGAATAAGAATAATAAGTGGAATTTTCGGTAAATATCGTTGTTAAACGCTGCTGCTGATAATAATTCCTTCATAGTCACACGTGACGCACTGTTAGCTATAGACATCGATGTAGAATTACTGGAACTATAATGGAAACAAAATGAATATTTGGAACTAAACAAATAGGAATAATGTAATGTTCCCCAATCTAAAAAGACTAAGAAAACCAGAACAAGGATAATGAGAAGAAATTGAAGGAACTCTAAACTTGGTACTAACAGAAAAATTCTTATTTATAAAATAGATTCATCTAGATCTAAATAGATATATAGATATCACTATAACTAGTAGATATCAAGATATCTAGATAGATATCAACATATCTAGATAGATATGAACCGATCTAAATAGACTAGATATGAACAGATCTAGAAATATAGATAAATATGAACAGATCTAGATAGATACATAGATAGATAGATATGAACAGATCTAGATAGATAGATATGAACAGATCTAGATAGATATGAACAGATTTAGATAGATAGATAGATAGATATGAACAGATCTAGATAGATAGATATGAACAGATTTAGATAGATAGATAGATAGATAGATAGATAGATATGAACAGATTTAGATAGATAGATAGATATGAACAGATTTTAGATTTAGATAGATATGAACAGATTTTTTTAGAAGATGATATGAACAGATTTATATAGATAGATAGATAGATAGATATGAACAGATTTAGATAGATTTAGATAGATAGATAGATAGATAGATAGATATGAACAGATTTAGATAGATAGATAGATAGATATGAACAGATTTAGATAGATAGATAGATATGAACAGATTTAGATAGATAGATAGATATGAACAGATTTAGATAAATAGATAGATATGAACAGATTTAGATAAATAGATAGATAGATAGATATGAACAGATTTAGATAGATAGATAGATAGATATGAACAGATTTAGATAGATAGATAGATATGAACAGATTTAGATAGATAGATAGATAGATATGAACAGATTTAGATAGATAGATAGATAGAACGAAAAAATAGACAAAAACACGTTGAGAATAAATTAAAAAGAAAAATGTTTATGTGGTTTTGTGTTTTACACAGTGTGCAGTCTGACACAACCTGACTCAAATAGCCATCACAAAGGAAATGTCGAAGTAAAAAATTCAATATGACGCAGCATTTTCTTTTGCCAAATTGAATCCTATATATTGAACCTGTAATAATATATGGCCAGGTAACATAGCAGTTAAACGCGCAGGATCTGGAATCAACGAACCTAATTCAAATCCCTGCCTAGTGGAGGGTTAGGGTTTGCATAGTAATGTCCTTGGGCAAGTTATGAACCCATCACCCCCCCCACAAGACCCGTTCACCATAATATGAACGCCTACGTGCTGAGAGGGCCTAGTGGTCTTCTAAGTGTAGCTCAGATGCGGTAAAAGATCGAAAGTATGGGACACCCAGTGAAGATCGAACTCATTATTCTTTCGTAAATGATCTAGTGAGACAAGCTTGCTAACCATTACGTCACGTCGAGTGCGCAAAATATGATTTTATAAGTGTAGCTTAGATGTGGCACAAGGACGAAAGTGTGGACCACCCAACTCACTACTCAGTCGTAAAATGTTTTGAAAGGAGACGACATTAAAAAAAAATAATAATAATGCAAATCATCAAGACAGATTAATGAGTCGGATCCTTGTTGACTGCCTGAACTTGAAACAACATTAAGCTCGTCTGAGTAAACAAGAAAATCTGAGAGAGAGAGGGGGCGGAGAGAGGGGTGGCAGAGAGAGAGAGAGGGGGAGAGGGGGGGAGAGAGAGGGGGGAGAGAGAGGGAGAGAGGGGATCGCACTGAGTGACGTTTGATTTGTGTAAAATTTATTTTTTCGATTATTTGAAATCTAACCGAAATAAATTATGTGCGGTCGGAAAGATGGTTAAATTAACGTTAGAAAAGATGCCACCCTAAAATTGAACAAGTATTTATTTATAAATTGTTTTTTCTTTTTAACTATAATGCTGACAACAAAAAATACACATATAAAATATTTTAGATTAGGTGGAGCAATCAGAAAATAAGTCGTAATCTTATGAAATTCGGTCAGTTATTTATTTTTAAATTAACACCTCCAGTCAACTAATTATGTCAAACATGTGATTATAATAATATTAAAGGCGATTATCACAACCACGATGACAATAAGAATCGGCTTAGCATAAATCTAAATTTGGACGCGACTCTCCCAAATTGGGGTGTCTGGATCAGTGATAAATACTGACGTAAAAAGTCATGGGATGGCAGTATGATAAGGTAATGGGAGGTGGCGCCATCGTACTTTTGATTCCTGGAAATATGTAGACATATCAATTGTACTCTGACATTAGTTTGCTAAGTGCAAAATGATCGAAGTTCGAATTGGGAATGATAATGGGTGCAAGATGGATAAGACATTTCTATTTCTGTAATTGTGGGACAGTGCACATTCCTCAACTTAGGTTGTCCCGTATGTACTGGGAAATCCTGATGGGAGCCATTGCCGCTCACCGTGGAAAGTGAGTAGCGCAGTGGCCGTCCATGGAATCTTAATGATCGCGACCAGAGTTTTCTGGTTAGAATTGTCATGTGTTAACAGAAAAGCGACACTAGCTGAAACCAAATCCCACTACAGGAGCTATCAGATGCATACCATCAAGTCAGTTCAGTGTTTATTAGTTTTTATAAGATATGAGAGCAGAATACCCTATGGTTCAAGTTGTTCAGCCTGCTAGTAAGGTTCAGGTAGACCTCAGTTGTCAACAAAGAACTGTACAGGTTGTTGGTTACTCCATGATATGGGGTGTGTTTACGAGGATTCGAATTCGGTCAACTTCTTCATATAGACGCCATTGATTGCACTGTTTATTTGCACTCACATAAAAACTGATATTATTTACTTTAATAGCCTCATCAGATCGAGACTTTCGTAGGGATGTCATTCATGGCGCCTAACTCGTTCAGAAATATTTAAACTGTCAGCTGTGTATACAACTGCTTTCTCAAATCAATGGTTAAAAGTGGCTTCCAATGAATGAAGTCTGTAAGATTCTTCCTTTTTCGAACCTCATCGACTGGCCATACAGAATCAGAAAGAAAGAACTTTAACAAATAACAGAAAGCCCATCACTTGTGGACTTTCAACAGTAGCAAAAACTAAAATATATATCGCGTGTAACTCGAAGAGAAAATAATGACATAACCAGAATGCTGGCATTCCACATGACTTCAAACAAAATGTTGGGAAGGAAACTCTCACCAATGGTGGAAAGAGCAATAACAGTTAGTGGACCAGAAAAATCTATTTAAAATTTTTTAAGAGAAAGATTTTATAAATTTCAATCGAAAGTAGCACTGGCTGCTCGGCGGTCAATGAATACCAAAAGTTTCTTTATAAGAAAGCGGTTAACATTAACATTACTATATGATCCAACAAAGATGAATTAGTGCAGCAGGTTAATACACCGTGTTATCGATTACCCAATTTGTCCAGAATTGATTTGAATTGCATTCTGAGGACATCTGATGAATGTTCATATAAATAACGAAATACTTAGGCGTTTTCCTTAAAACGAAAAAGTCACTTATACTTGGAATCAGGATGTGACCCTTGAAATATCTGGGACAAGTACTGAGGAAAGAAGGCTTGCAAAATTTGGCATTCACAAGACATATCAAAGACAAAAGACAGTAATTTATCTAATGAACTTTTGTAAATGGATGGCAGAACAAAGACTGAGAATGAGAGTATAAAATATATTGCTAAGAGCTGCAAAGGATAGGAAGTTGTGGAGAACCATGATCGCCCATGTTCTGAAACGACACGGCTTATAGAAGTGAAAGGTATTTATGCTGCAATGTGCTGTACCTGCTAACGTGTGAGTGTATGTGTGTGTGTGGGGGGGTAGGGCTAATCAATTTTTGATCCATAGTTCCATGTGCGTGAGAGACTGCTGCTTTAAACTCTGCTATGTGCCATATTCCTTGCTCACAGGTAAATCTCTTAAGTGGTAAGAATTCATCCGAATAGATTCTATTAAAATTGACCGATAATATCTATGTTTAATATTACATATTTTCAATTTGCGTCTAAGTGTTGTCTCACATCCGGATCAAGTTTATGAAGAAACAAAGTTCATGATGTGTTTGTTCAAGTATTTCGATCATCTCCAGTCCTGGTATTTAATGTCAGTGGCATAGAGAATAGTTTTTGACATTTTAGCAAGGCTGCATTTCTAATTTAAATATATCATTTTATACAAGTGGAGGCTGATAGGATCTGATTGCTGCACAATGCATATGGGAAAACTGCTTGCCTCAAGTGTATCTTAACTGTTTGTGAATGTACTTTAAAAAGCTACGTGTATGTCGAAAACACAAGCATTTGTTGGAACTCTTGCCGAAGATACAATAAATGTTGCAAAGCTGCCAATAAAATTTTGTCAACTATAGTTAAAGGAAATTTCTTATAAATAGGAAACAATCGGGAAGCCGATTTTAGAAAATAAAAAGTGACAAATTATCGTTGTTTGATGTTTTGGAAGGGCTAAAATGTCGTCGAAGGAAATCTGGAATGTCGTTGGTCTTAGACCACGTTCACCACCAGGTGCTCTGATTTTGGGGATTAAAAAATAATTCATTAAAGGATTCTATTTAGAAAATATTGGTAGTGTATATCAACATAAACTGGAAAAATACGAAGATTTACAAGATCAATGAGTAAGAAATGAATAGACAAGCAATATATTTCCTATAGAAGTCGGATACCAAATAGGTTATGGCATAACTGGCTAAATTTGGAATGTCATCAAAAAAAAGATGCCTCAATATCGTGTAGAGGCTGTATCTGCATGTATCTCACATTTCTAAAAAGTGCTGGAAAAATCTGGTATCGTGAGGTACTGCTGGAGTACCTTGAGTTATTGATAAAAATGCGTCGACATTGAAACCATACCTGACACCCATGGCTATTGTCTGATGACGGTTTCATTGGAGGTGCTGATGCCGTGAGTTAATTTATCTTAAATAATAATAATCGAGCCCAACACAAAAGCGGCCCACTTTTGACTGGATGTTTGCAGATCCAACCAACGTTTAATATACCTATTCAAGTATAAATCTGAACAATATTCACTTATAGAACCAAGTGTGGACGATCGTTTACCTTCAGATTCAAGTATATACTAAAGTAATCTTTACATGTAGACATGATTTCGCCATGATATTCTTAAAATTCGTTAGCAGAAGCAAATCCCTGTAGCCTTCAGCTCTCCTGTCTCTTCTTCATCCGTGAGGAGATTGTCCAGTATTCATTGCCATATAAGAGATTAGATATTATATAACAGTTCAGGCCTCTTTTCTTTGTTCCTAACGACATTTCCCAATTTCTTATTACTTTGCTTAGTTTATGAAAGGCATGAGAAGATTGTCCAGCATTCATTGTCATATAAGAGGTTAGATATTACATAGTAGTTAAGCCCTATTTTCTTTGTTTCGAAGAACATTTCCCATGTCTTCATACTTTTCTTAGCTTCCGTAAAGCATCTTTTAGTATTCCTATGAGTCTTTTCCATCGTTTGTTAAGACACTTACCCAAATAGTAATAGGAAAGGTCATAGAGAAATCTAACTTACACATATCCCCGAATTAAACCACGCCTATAATAATATTAACAATAATAAACAAACAATAAAGTGAAATCATTGTAGTAATAGTTAACAAGTGATTGTTGTTAACGGTTACTACTGTAGTGAGGTTAATTGCTTTTCGCTGATTAACATTATCTTAAGCGAAGCAAGTAAATATTACCAGCGTGAAGCATGACTATTCACCATCGAACCTTTCGTGACGTTTTAATAGAGTTATGTCACATGGCCAGCTTCTTGTAATGGTGGCTTTGTTTTCGATGCGATGAGGTTAATAAATACAGAACGTATTGCTAATTACAACTATTTTCTTCTCAAAAACTTCATTTCAAATTTTTGACCGACTATTTGAACAACCGGGTTAACTGTACAAACGACAAACGTGACCATCTCGATGTAAATTTGTCTATCCTATAATTTTTTCAGTTGTTTTTTGTTTTAATGGCAAAGGCGAACGAATATTTAATGTTGAACAGTTGTACATCCTCCATGCAAATTTGAGCTGGATTTTTTAAATTCACTCTCGCTGCTCATTATGCAAGGTATTTGTTGAACTGAAGAAGAGTTTATTTCATTTTGTATGCAGAGGTTGTATGCGTGTGTGCCTTGCGCACGTATAAGTGTATGTATGTACGTGATTATTGCGCATGCGTTTCCGAAAAGAAAAAAAAGGTGGAACGTTTTACAGTTATATTAATTTGAGGTATAGATGCTAAATTAACGAGAAGGACGTTTTTTTTGAAGAAAGAATGAATGAAAGAAAGATACAGAGTTAAAGAAAAATAGAAGGGTGAAGAAAGAAAGAAAAGAAAAAAAGAAAACTACAAAGAGAAGCGAAACGGAAAAGGACAAAGTGAAGAGAAAAAGAGAAAAATACAAAGAAAAAAGAAGGGAAAAGTAGAAAGAGAAGTGAAAACGAAATTTTCAAAAGAGAAGCGAAAAGGAAAAATACAAGGAAAATAGAAAAAAGAAAAATACAAGGAAAAGAGAAGAAAAAAAATACAAAGAAAATAGAAAAAAGAAAAATACAAGGAAAAGAGAAAAAGAAAAATACAAGGAAAAGAGAAGAAAAAAATACAAAGAAAATAGAAAAAAGAAAAATACAAGGAAAAGAGAAAAAGAAAAATACATAGAAAAGAAGAGAAAAGAAAAAGTACAAAGAGAGGGGGGAAAAAGAAGAAATACTAGAAAAATAAAGTATAAGGGGGGTGGTAAATATTGTCCTGGGGTCAACGAATTTTACGAGATCAGGTAACGTAACAAGGGAGAAAAATGATAAAAATTCAGAAATTTTACGCTCTAAACAAATACTTCTGTTTCGAACTAGTCAGTATCATTTATTCGCATCATGTTTCAAACGCGTTATATATACACAGGCGGCAATTGCGCAACTTATCCCGATTTAACCTAACAGTAAACAGCTAGAGACTAAGTAATAAATCTCTTTTGCAACACTTGTGCTCGGCATTCCTTACAATAAAAACCCTACATCATCTGTCTCATCTATTATGAAAAATAACATTTCTTTATTCAATTCGTCTAAAATAAATGCCACCGAATTTTCTAATCTTTCTAATCCTAATAGATTTCATCCTTCATCTACAGTTGATGATTCTAAGAGACTCCATGCTCTCGTCAAGGTTAAGTTGATCGAAGGTGATGTCTCAGTTGCAGTTAGAGTATTAGCCTCATCCGATACTATACTAGCTGCTACACCAGAAATTCTCACAGCTCTCCGTCGGAAACATCCTGCGCCACCATCAGATGTCAGATTTATTCAGATGGAAAACAATGATTCAAATATTGAAATCTCAAAGGAAGCAATGGTTGCCGCTCTGAAGTCTTTCTCGGGAAGCAGCAGTGGAGGTGTGGACGGCCTTCGACCTGGTCACATCAAGGACTTAATTTCTGCCCACACTGCCGAAGCTGGTGAACATTTGAAAACATCCATAACAGCTCTTATTAATACCCTTCTCCGAGCTGAGATACCCCCAAATGCTCGCAACTTAATATTTTCAGCCAACTTAACGGCTTTAAAAAAAAAAAGATGGAAGTAACCGCCCTATCGCTGTTGGTAACATTTTTCGTCAACTCGCAGCAAAAATTGCTTGTAGAGTTGTTGTGAAGGAAATAGGGTATAAATTGCGACCTGTCCAGCTCAGGGTAGGCATACAGGGCGGATATGAAGCCGCGGTTCATGCCACAAGATCATTTTTTGAGAATACATCACCTGTTTCCCCCCCGTACGTTATTAAAATTGGATATGAAAAACGCTTTCAATAGCACCAGAAGGGATCATGCCCTGGACGTTTGTCATCAACGGACTCCTTCCATATTTAAACTGGCTCATCTTTTGTACAGTCATCCAAGTATTTTGATCGCCTCCGATAATATCTCTTCAGTTACTGGAATCCAGCAAGAAGGTGATCCACTTGGTCCGCTACTATTTGCGATGGCTGTTGACGGGGTAGCCCGTTCCATTGTCTCTCCTTTCAATATATGTTATATTGACGATGCAACTTTGGGAGGATCCATTGAGGCCGTAGCTGCTGACCACCGATGAGTTATTCCTGCTTTATCTCTGCTTGGACTTGAGATTAACTCGTCCAAGTCAGAGATAATAAACTTGAATTATAGGGCAGATGATTTCGAGAGTGCTATCCGAGATATCAGACTCATCCTTGGGGATATAAAAATAACATCTAAGGAGGAATTGCATATTCTTGGTTCTCCAGTCTTTCCAATGACCATTCGAGAGTGTTTGAATACTAAGCTTGTCATTTTAACAAGAATGACTGAGAAATTGCAATTAATTGATGCACACCCAGCCCTCTTCCTCTTGAAGAACAGTTTTTCGCTACCGAGGTTCCTCTACACCCCCCGAAGTGCCTCTTGCTACCTCAAACAGGATTTCTTAAATGAGATAGATATCACAATTAAGAGATGCGCGGAGCTAATTTGCAACGTTAATTTCGACGACACAGGCTGGAGGCAGGCAAAGTTCCCTTTGAGTTTCGGAGGCCTGGGCCTTCGATCAGCGGTAGATTTGGCCCTTCCAGCATATCTTTCTTCACTTTCGTCCAGTCACAAATTAATTGATGAGATACTCAGTGGATCGTCTCAATGTTTCTCGGGTAGTTCTTTCGATCAAGCTTTCAGCTTCTGGGCCCAAGAATTACTTTCTATCCCACTAGACACATCAAAACAAAAAAGCTGGGATAAAATAAAATGCGAGGCCCATTTTACTAATTTGAGGCTCTCTCTCGATCAGCATCGCCTCACCTGTCTACTATCTGCTTCACAACTGAGTAGTGGCGCCTGGTTCAACGCAGTGCTCTCTTCATCTACCGGTACCCTTCTAGATGATGAGTGCACTCGGGTCGGAGTCGAGGTCCGTCTTGGACTCAAATTATGTGAGCGTCACAGATGCAAATGTGGAGCTTCCATTGATGAGTTTGGTTTGCATCCTCTCTCCTGTCGTCGTAGTGCCGGCCGCTTTCCAAGGCATGCAGCAATAAACGACATCATCAAAACAGGTTTGGATGCAGCTGATTCCCTCCCCAAATCGAAGCCGTAGGCCTCGACCGTGGTGATGGAAAGCTGCCGGATGACAATTACCATATTCCCTTTTAAAATGGGGAAGTCGTTGATTTGGGATGCGACCTGTGCGGATACATTTTAGACCCGTAAGAGGCAGAGGATAGCAAAAAAAAAAAAAATCATTTTGTTTATAGTTACTTTGTTCAAACATTTTTCAATAAATCTTAGTAATAAATAAGTAGAAACATTAAAACTGGATTGCAGATGACGTCATAAATACTTGCACGGAGACACGTTAATACTGCTTTTGTTACATCGCTCTACAGTTTCAGACAAATATGAATTTCGACGCTTCATTTTATAACGAAATAAAACGTCTCACTGGTTGTAATTCTATATTGTCCTAGTGTCAGTAGAAACCAACGCCTTCGTTTTTGTATATTGCTAATATAATATAATATCTCTCAATCTATCATTTTTATTATTATTTAGTGTAGTTTAGTTTTACTAGCATTTTTCCTTATATCTAAATTATAGTTTGGGAAGGGAAATCATTTCATTAAAATATGTTGGAAAGTTTACAAGTTTTCATCGGAAATCAAGAAAATGCAAACTACTAAACTCCTAACACACACATATATATATATATATATATATATATATATATACTAACCGAATTACCCTCGTCTTACTGTGTGTTATCTATTTTTTGTAAGAAAATCGTGATTTATTTGAAATCACAATTATAATTTGTGAAGAAAAATAATGCATTTCACTATTACTCAATGATTTTGCTGATGTTACCTTCATCTTCTGGCTTTCTCCTATATTTTGGGAGTTATTGGCGAAAAACGGGCTTTTTAAACAGTTTTTCGTGGTTTTTCATTATACGCAGGGAAAGGAGCAGGACTGCAACCACACTAGTTTATTTCTTACCTGATGTCAAATGTTTTGCGAAAGTGTTTTGTGTTTGAAGAAAATGGAATAAAAAAAAAAATGAGGAAATTATTCAAGATTTTATTTTAAGTAGTCTATTTTGTGTGTCGCACAATGTCGCAGGAAAATTATCAAACACTCTACATAAACCGCGTAACATGAGCTGATGTTTTGCATTAAGTGCAAAGCACATCCAGCTATCCAGTAAAAATTTTGTTCGCGTGTAACTTTGCCTGGGTTTTTGCAAAAAGTCGTACCCAGCTTCAGTTTTATCGATTTTTCTGCCAAATCTGAAAGGGGAGGGGTCTGGAGATTGAAAAGTTTGTCTTGACCTACCTTAGTAAATTTGCAATATGTAAAAACAATTTCATCGAATGCTACTAATACGCAGGGGTTTACATGGGAGTGAAAGTGAGAGGAAAAAAACTTAGTATAGGGAGAATTGAAGAAAGGACAAAAGATGACCGGGATTCAAGAAGACAGAAGATGGCGATTGACATTGCAGTTATGTTTTTGAAGATTGTAATTATCAATGAAGGAAGTAAACAGAAGGGAGGTCAAAAAAAAAAAAAAAAAAAAAAACTGGTGGAGTATAAATGATGGTTGCATTTCAGTAGTAAAATAGTGGGACCTAGATGCCAATCTAGTAGAGTAGCACGCTTAAATTCATGCAGTCGAAGAACCAGAGAAAAAAGCTCATCAGAGCAGTTGCCATGAAAATATTTTTAGAAAAGACAGATAAGTGATAAAGTGACTGAAATTGAGATGCCAGGTCAGGGTTGATTACATTGCAGATCCTTCTTTGGATTTTGTCAAGAACCTCGGGATGATCAGATATGGCAACAGTACGATGAATGGTAGATTTGTAAGTGTGCAAGATGGACTCTGATGGAAAGAAAAAAAACCATTCCGAAAAAAGAGCATGTCATTTTAATGCATATTGTCTCTTCTCAGTCTCGCAATTAGAATTTTGGAAAGTATAAAATAATTTGTAAGGAAAGTTTCGAAGTTTTCACCTGAAGTTAAGAAAATAAGAACTTTAAGCAAAATGGTTATATGTGGGGGAAAAAAAACGGGCCGTTTAACCACCGTTGCCCATACGATCTCCAAAGTTAAGCAATGTCGAGCCTGGTCAGTGAAATGGGTGACCGCTTGGGAAGACCAGGTGCTGTAAGCTTGGATGTGCCGGTGGTGTAAATGGATAATAGTTTTGAATTGTTAATCGGAGAGCCGAGTTCGAATTCCAGTTGGGTTCGTTATATTCACTTACACGCAAATACCATTGGGAAAGGTATGAATCTACTTATTCTCCCCTAACTATAGGTTAATTAGTAAGACTTTTATCACTAAATCGTTATTATCTCTCCGCCCCCTCCACCAAAAAAATTCTCAGAATCTAAAATATTTGCTGACTTTAAATAACCTGTAATGGGTTGATGGGTAGAAAACAAATCAGTCAATAAAAAAGAACGCATTAGTTTTACCCATATCGTCCTGGTGTCATGTCAGTTTGAATTGTCGTTACTTTTAATCTGGGAAAGTGTAACTTTCGCTGAAATATGTGGAAAATTTTCAAAGCTTTCATCTGAAACGTAGAAAACAGAAACTTCATACAAAATTGTCGCAATATATGGAAAAAAAGTTTACACTGACGCCATCAGGATATGGAGTATTACTGATTGATAATCTGGGTCGTAGAGTATACTACGCTAGTAGATCATTACAGTGTTGATCATTACTCGACAAATTTTACAGCTAATATTACAGTGAATTTGATCCCCATTAGATGCTTCAAAATTGTGGCCTTACTAAGATTAGCAACGAGGGCGCTACCTTTTCTTTCTATTTCTCTTTTTTCTCGGGTAGTTGCATCACTCAACAATGTTCAAGCTGTGCTAAAAATCAGAATGCAAGATTTTAAAAGCTGAAAGCCTGTCTTCAGTTGGCAGAGACTGAATTAACATTTTTTTAACGACTAATTGACCTTGTGTCGTACTTAATCTCAGTACAGCCACGTGACAGCGTTTGAGTCCTTCAAAGTAAGAAAGAAAGGCAAACCTAAAATAGCGAGTTAAAATGTCAATGCAGTATGAAATCTAATTTATTTCAGAGTTTGAATATTAACGGCAGCAACAGATGTCTTCATGTGGACATCACAACATCACAAGGCCTTTGATTGTTCATTACGGACAACAACCTCAAATGGCATCGTAAGGCTAACAACAGTGAAATTCATGCGACACAGCAGCAGATGCACAATAACATATGCATAAAGAGGAGGAAAAGAGAGTAGGGAAGAGAAAGAAGATACATGAATGAGTGTGAGAAGAAAAAAGAGAAAGATTGAGAGAGGAATAAAATAGAAAAAAAAAGGAGGGAAAAGAAAGAAAAACACAACAGTCAAGACCGGAAGAAAGGCAGAGGGATGACAACAAAAGAAAATAGAACTGTGGTTTACACAATATATAATGTTTATGTCTGTCTTATCCAGGTAGGTCATTAAGACATAGATAACAGCTGGTTACAATTGCACTTGTAGAAAGAATCTTTATCAGTTCGTTTGACTGTCAGTCAAGTTATACAAACCAGTTATATATATTATGAAATGGACGAAGTCCGACAATTATTTCAAGACATTTTTATGTTTATACATTCTTTTTATAGATACAAATATTTAAGTAAATACTCTGTTTAATAAACTAAATGCACCGAAACAAGGTTGCATCTTTGTAGTGAGTAAATTGTTTTTGTCTATACGAAAACATTATAATAAATAATTATTGGTCTACTCTCGGTATTGAGCAATCTTTTGAATTAATGCTGTGAACGTTAGAATTTATATATTATTTTCGTTCTCATTACATTCGGAAATATATATATATATATATTTGTTTTAGATAAACATACGTTAGATTATTTAAGAATGGATTCAATAAAGGTTGATGATGTAATATAATGTTTTTGACGTGTGTTTATAGTTGGTAATATTGTTGTTATTGTTGTTATTTTTTAATTTCTTGAAACTTCGGATGGACGCGTTATCTCTCTTTGTATTCGGAACACCACACATTATACTAAAGGTCATTTAAACAAATCGAATACAAATGAAATATAATTGGCCAATAAAAATCAAACACCACCACAAAAGTAAAAATAAAAAAAATTGTTTCTTTTTTTCACCATATCTCATTCCCTAATGAAGCTTTAATAAAAGTGAAACACGTTAGATTGATAAACGTTTACTATTTGTTCTTGATCTTATCATATATATATATGAATTTTTGAATCGATTTTTTTTATTAATCCGACAAATTCTTATCATTTTAAACGTTATGTTTAGCGGATACTCGGATTTGATTAGGCGCTTCGTTTATTTGGCCTCTCCTGACCGACTGCTCTTCATGGTCAAGTTGGTTAAGTCATGCCAGTCTTAACAATATCTCGCTCTGCCAAGAGGTACGCAAATTCATTTATTGTCGAAGAGCGCATTTTTTCTGTTAAGATTACTAGAACATTCAAGCATGTGAACGAAAATAAATATACTGTTTAATAAATAAACGGAACGCCTACAGAAATGCAAGCATTCGCTAATAATTACGTTTAAAGTTATATATGTGTGTGCGCGTGTGTGTGTGTAACTTTTCGAAGTTACCAGAAGAGTACACGCGACGCCATGATTAAATTGGCCTCCTTATGCAGCGAACAACAAAAAAGGATTTTCTGTTATTTGAAACTTGTCAAAAAAAGAAAAAGAAAACTCCATAAATTATTAGGTTGACCAGAAAGTCCTGACTCATTTCGGAAACGGAAAAAAATTATAGAGCAACACCAACATTTATTCTTCAAAATAAAGTCCATCATTCTCGATGCCAGCGATCAGCCAGAATCAAAAACTGTAAACAAGCTTCCTTCACTTTATCAAAAGTGTTGAATCGCTGGTCGCGGAGGAAGTGTGCCATTGAGCGGAATAGGCCATTGTCACTCGTTGCAGCATCGGGACTGAATGGTGAAGGTGGAAGAATCTCAACACAGTTCATCTGTTTGAACTTCTCCTTAGTCAACCTGGCATTGTCTTGCTGAAACAAAGCCCGACCTCGATCGACCAAAGCAGGATACTCCTTTAGTTTGTCGGACATGGGGTCTAGCTGCTGGCAATACAGTTTAGTGTTGATGAGGAACAAGCTCGAAATGCAATACTTCTTGGAAATTCCACCAGAGATCAAGGTTTATTGTTTTCTTTCCGCATGAGTCAGAACTTTCTGGCCAACTTAATATTTATGTAATAATCCAATTAAATGGTAAATGGATATTTCTTTTGTAACTGTATTTATATTTAAAAAAGAAATGAAAAATGAAATTAAATATTACGGTCATATTTGACAACAAGTGTAAAAACTAATACATAAAAACTAATCATATTTGCTAGAGAATGTTACCATCGTTTTTCCTCCCAGGTTTCTTCACCCTCAATTAAAGACACGAAACAAATGTTTTACCGTGTCAAACGAATAAACATGAATAAAGTTGTGGCTTTTTGTCGTCTTGTCAGAGGAAAGTTTATCATCAGGACGTCTCTAGTGCTCATTGACCTTTTATAATGAGATTGTTTTTCAAATTAGCGATCAGTTTCCCCATTTAACCGGTTTAAGTATTCACGATTAAACTTTGGAAAAAAAAAATTAAGTTAATTCAGATGACGTGTATAGTGGGTCAGTTGGGTTTGCTAATGAATTGTCATTATGATTGAACGATAAAGGGTAATGCTTAAACAATATCATTGATCAAATAAATATGCTTCAACTTTCAAGTTTTTCAAAGTTATGAAACATACATACACACACACGTCCGCGTTCTGGGTAAGACGATAAACTACGTCCAACAACAAGGCCTTTGATCAGGAGGTTTTGAGGAGCGTGGAACCACCTCTTAATTGCTGGTGTTCCCAGGTCCACCCTGACCCCGTGGTGGTAGCACCTGTTAGGGTCCCAACTATGGACAAATAGTTACTCCCCAAGCTGGAGTTAAAGCACTGAGAAGGCGTGGAAATGGGTTTTAACACCAGCAATATATTTTCGTAAAAAATTATTACCAGCAATAAATTTTTGAAGAAAAATTATTACCAGCAATACATTTTTAAATATTACCAGCAATAAAAAATCTTGTCGACAGTAAATAACCCATTGAGGTTGATATGCCATAAACCAAACCAAACACACATAACTATCATCTGATATGACTTATCATAGAAAAGCAATAAATGTCTTATTTTATTGCTACATCAGGTAAATCTATAGAATTAATTAATCGGTTTATATTTTTCTATCTAATCACTTTCTGTATCAACCTCCATTCATATCTATCGATCCACTTTTTCTCTCTCTCTCTGTCAATGTCTATCCTCGAGCCAACGTTCAAATTGAACCTTCGTTCATATCTATCCACCCTCTCTCTGTATCAACTTCTGCCTGTATCATTATATTGAATTTTCTGAAAGAAATCTCTCTCAACAAATTCAATCTCAATCTACATTAAAATCTATCAAGTTTTTCTTTTCTCTATCGTTCAATTTGGAACTGTCCGTATCTAAATTTAAATTAAACTCCGCCCTGTAAATAAATATTTAAAAATAGCAGCATGGCCCGGCGTTGCCCGTGCTTGATTCAAAAAATCATGACTCATTCAGCAATCGCTATCACTTGACTTAAAAAGATTTTTTGCCTTTCCTTGCCTTTAAAGGAGTGCTCTTTGCCGTGCTGATGTTGCTACATGCCTTACTTCTTTTTTATCTCACACTGCGAATTTTTCTAAGCTCTATACTAAACATTAAATCTGTTACGAAAAAAAAGAACTAAACAAAATGAACATAAAATGATCAGCTTTAAAAAAGGACTCGTAACTGGAAAAACCGAATGAAAAATGAATGTTAACAACAAATACTTTTTCACACCCAACCCAATTCTGCGGAATCAGAATCAACGTTGAGTTTAAGCAAGCGAATGAGCCAATTGGAGTAAAGTGCCATGCAGATTTAAAATTTTTCCCACTTTGACGAATGCAGCTATCGATTTTTTTTGCATGCTAGTTAATTTCGTGTCAGTCAGCTGTTGGCTCTCACGCTGGCCAATTGAGAATCTTCCTGCCTATTCGTGGCAGCCAGCTATAAATATTCTCACTT